AACTATAACTTTCCTAGTATTCTCACTCTGTATTTTTTGTCTTTTCACTAGCATTCTTGCTCCTCTTCCTCTCTCGCTCTTTTTTTTTAAGCTGTGGCCTAAGAACACTTAAGATGAGATCTACCACCTTAACAGATTTTCCCCTTTCCCTTTTTATTCAAGTTTTCTTAGGGAAAATAAGTCCTCTCTCACCCTTACCACCAATATATTCATTAATTTACTCTAACCTTGCTTCCACCTTCACTAATTCTTCTGTTCCTAACATCCTTGATGACTGCCAAAATGGCATATACAGTGAAAGTGTACAGTTCCCCTTATTTAACCTTTCATCGGCGTTTGACACCATCTACGACTTGTTTTCCTTGGACTGCTTTCTGGTTCTCCTCCTATACCTACGGCCACTCCTATTCTGCCTCCTTCACTGGGTTCTTTTCTTTGGCCCATTCTTTAAATGTAATGATTCTCCATGACTCCAGCCTTAGTCCTTTTCTCTTCTGACTCTACATTTTCTTTTTTAATGAGTTCGACCACTCCTACAATTTTAATTATCCCCATCAATCCATATGTCTTGCCTTATCTCTCTTCTAAAAATATAGATCCATATAACCAAGCGGTCAACTGGATCTTTCCACTTGGATGAACTTTCCACAGACACCTCAAACTCAGCAAGTATCTTCTTAGCACAGTATCTCCTTTGTGCTCCCCCCTCTCGCTGATATCCTATTCACCTGGTGGCAACACCATGTAACAGCTGTAACGGTGTAAATAACAACAAAGACATTTCTGAAAATACATGATACAGACCTGACCACTGAAAGAAGTACTATTTGCATTTATTTTGACATCTGTAGTCAATCATAAGTGGCATTTGGGACTAATTCATACAGTTAGTTCTGAAAAGGGCTGCTAGAGAATTTGATAATTAGGAGTCCATTGGTGACCGTCAAGAATGCAACTATCGTAAATTGCAACCTGATTGTGATTGGTTTAGAAGTGAAGAGAAAGGAAGGAACTATGGCTAGTGAGCAGGGACCACTCTTTCAAGCTTGATGGTAAAGAGATAAGAGAGATTAAATGAATGTCATTAGGGGAAAGCAGATGTGAGGAAGTCGTCTTTTAGAACAGGGAAAACAGCAGTTTTGCAGGCTGCGGGAAGGAAGGTGGTCGTGAAGAAGGGATTGAAGGTAGGAAAAATAGGAAGATAGGAACTGAATACTGACAACCACAAAGGGAGTAGGAAGGTCTTTGCTTCTTTTGTGTATATTATTATTCTTCATTAACATTTGCTTAAATAAATTCAGGTCTACTATTTATCACATTGCAGTATTAAATAAGTAATAGTAATAATATTTTTTGTAATTTTATATGCAAACCTTTATATTTATTTTGACATCTATAGTTAGGCAAAAATTGTCATTGAGGCTAGTTTGTACAATTAATTGAATCATGTGTTCCTTTTCCTTTTCAAAACTTCCCTTATATATTCCATTCCTAGTAAGTATGATGAATCCTCTTAATTCAACCCATATACAACTAGTAGCTTTCAGTTAAAACTCTTACTTTTTCATAAACTCATAACTCTTATTCTAAAATGAACATTGGGTACTTCATCTGTCAGGTATCTATCCCATCAAATTTTATTATTGCTTTGTTACTTACTTGCAAAACTTCCTTACATAATACATTCTGTATCTGTGGCCATATATGGTTTTCCTATACAGTTTCCAAGTTTTATGGTTTATTTAGTTCAAGTGAATAAACCCAGCTTTCTGTTTCACTTTTGTGGAGGTAGATAGGGTCAAGGAGAGCTGGTGGAACATTTACAGAGAGGAAAGATTACCAGTTAGACTTGGTGTTCCTAAGAAAACAACAGCTCTGATTCAGTGGTATTAAAAAATTTGGCAGTACTAAAAAATAACTAGATAGTTTTCCTACCAGTTACTTAGAAAGGGTTCATAATGTGTGAGGGAGAGGGGAGATACTGTGTTTGGAGTTTCAGAGACTGGTCACTTATCCTGAGCTGAAAGCTTCTCACAGGGAGGGAGGCATTCTCAGCAAATGATGACTATTTCCTTCCTTTCCTCACTTCTCCCACCTCGAAGTCCTCACTGTTTTAGCTTCATTGCACTGATGCTCCCTCCTCAGCTGCACTGTTTTAGCTCCACTGCACTGATGCTCCCTCCTCAGCTGCACTGTTTTAGCTCCAGTGCACTGACGCTCCCTCCTCAGCTGCAGATAGGGGAGCAGTGCACAAAATCGGCTCTCCACAGGCAGCATGCTCAGGCTGAGGTGGACAGGGGCCTAAGCTTACTGCCTCAGTTGAAATCCTCAGCCCCAGTGGCTGCCAGGGGAGGTGGGCGGAGCACAGGAAGTGATTACCCTCGGGCTTCTCCTCCCACAGAAGCCCTGCCTCCTCACGCTTGGACAGTGGGGAGGTTAGCTTTCTTTCTCCTTCTAGTTCAGTCCTTTGGCTAATGTGAAAGACCACGCAGAAACTATGGAGTTGCTTTTTCTGCTTGACAAAGTGCAGAGATAGAAGACAGGGATTCCCGGCTGGGAGGAGGGAGGGGAGCTGAAGACCCCGGCCTGGGCTGGCTGATCTAAGCAGTCAAAGTGGGAAGCTGAGTGCTTGAAAGAGGATTATACTCGCACTAGAAATAAGCAGTAAGTGAGCGAATAACCATTATGGCTTAGAAAAGGCTTAATCCCCCTGGGTTATGGGGTGAGCTAGAAAATATTGCTTAACTCTAGAGTAAAACTGGAAGGCTTCTGACTCTGTGTACAGTTGTCTGCTGTTTGGAAAGTAGGGGCTTAAGAGCAAGCCCAGAGCCCCCCCGACTCTTGGAAAATGCCAACTTCTACTTAACAATAGTTGGGGATATAATCTCCTTCCCTAGCCTCTTCCTGGTAAAATTTAGTAATAAACCAGATAGGGGGTTGGGATTAAATTGGAAAAGTGGAATCTGGTATTGGCAGAAATGGCGATCTTGAATTAGGTTCTGTGAATGCCGACATTGTTATATCTATTAGCAGTGATTTGCTAATCACAAGAAAGTCTGGGGCAGGACATTGAAAAGGGAGAATTGAAAGCTTTTATAACAGAGAAGCTGAGTAGTCCATATGCGTGAGATGAAATATAAAAATGTGTATAATAATAGATGGAGGGGTTTTTTGAGCATTAAACGAGAACAGCAGTCAGGGAACATATACTTGGATATAAGCTAGAAAAGAAGAACTTTTAGTTTCAATAATTTTTTGTGCAAACCCAAAATTTCACAATGTTTACAAAGTCAAGACAGTGATTCGGGGATACTTCGATTATTGTGGTACACTATAAATACTGTTGCTGGGCAAGGTCTGTGGTTCTCTGGTCAGCAAGTTCTGGCAATGAAGCCACTGCCGCTGGTGCAAAGAATTCTGGGATGTCTGACAGTGAAATGGATGGAAAGACCCACATTCCATCTCTACTTAATGTCCTTTTGTCCAGAAGTCGGGTCATGCACATGAGCTACTTGGTAAGTATACAGATCAATATTCAGAAAGGCATTTCTTAATGTTTTGCATTAGAGGGTCTCTGGACAATATCTTATGGCAACCAGTGTACTAAAGCAAAGTGGTAGGAAGGAAGGCCATCTTGATCAAAACCAACCTTGTTCTTTTTGTTTTCCATCAGTCCTGAAATGGAACCTCAAATGAGGACAAGAATAATAAGAGAGAGAAATACTGTGGCCATCTGTTCTGTTCTAAGTGGTTAAACTCATTAATATATGAATGAGAATTCAGATTTTATTTATGCATCCTAATACTTGAAGATTCAGAAAAATATCTTTATTACAGAAAAACAACCCACAAAAATAGGAGGTATGTTTATTGGGGAAGAAATATGGAAATCTGCTTTTGAAATGTTATAGGAGAAAAAACAGACAAGAATCGTTTCCCACGGTATAAAGAAGATTTATGTTATGTTCGCTGAAGGTTGTAATTCTTCCCCCAATGAGATGAGGATCCTAGTATGGCACAGTAGATACAAACATAAGAAATAGTTTTAATTCCCTTAATTCTAGTTGATATAATTAATACCGAGAGCAAGAATTGCTTTTTTAAAAAATAATAACCTTGGATTACAGCTAATTATGTAGTGAATTTTCTTTTCTTTTTCTTACTGGTCCTCTATGAAGGTACTATGTTTCTGAAATTATGAAGAAGCAACTGTCATTCCAAATGGTATTTCGTTTAACCATTGCACTGGGAGAAAGAAAAAGAAAAGACTCAGACGTATTATCTTTCTCCTGTAACACAACAGTAAAATGGTTGTAATGATCTATGTCCTTTTCTAACTTATAAAGTTACGAACTTTTGCTATGGGGAAGATAGATGGGGGAAAATGCCAATAAAGTACATTTTTTAAAATGGTCCGTACCCTACCAACTGTTCAAACTACCTAATTTTGAAAATTATTTTACTTATCTTTTTAAAATTATTTCTGAATTGTTTTTCCAATGTTAGTTTTCATCAGATTTATAAGCAAATACAGAAAATCTGAAGATTCATTATCTGAGTGGTGTTATTCTTGCTTAGTCTTAAAAATATATAAAGGATTAAAATAAAACATTTAATAGTTGAAATCTTAAGCATAATATAATCACTAAATGCAGTTTCAGTCTTTAAGAAAAATGTGCTGGGACTCTTTAAGGAGTTGCTTATTTATCTCGAGTTATTAAAGAATCTTTTCTAAAAATATACAATTGAAAAAAGAAAAGGAGCATAACAATATTCAGAGAAGGATTAAAAGTATAATTTGGATGGGAGAGGCTAAGCAGAAAACAGCAGTTTAATAAAGATATTTTCTGTTGTCCATGAGAGATTGGCATAAAGAGTGATGTATTATGACTAGTGAACAATGCTAAGAAAAGACTTTTATCTTTAAAAAGTATTAAGTGGGAATTAACATTATTAATGGAAAGAAACTAAATGATCATTTAAAATTATTCTTTCACAAGAAAAGTAAAGAAAAAGGATATGGAAAACTAAGCAGTGATGAAGACCTGAAAATAATTGTTGATCAAAAGCAGGTAAGTGAATGCTTACATACATTTTCTAATGTTGCATTGTAGATTTTTGACAACTGAAGCCCTTTGAGCTTTCAGCCCTGCCCTGGAAGCTATATTAGCTTAGCTTGTCTAACTGAGGCCTGCATAATAAGATAGATTTTGGAAGCAGCTAAGCCTCCCTGTCTAACGCCTCTGATGCACTGACTTCTGCATGATGTCAACATGTATGTCCTGTATGTAAGAATGATGAAAAATAAAGCAGAGCAAGATAAGAGAATTTTTGGAAATTAAAAGCTTGAAAAATGAAATCAGTACAATGATAATTTGTTGGAAAAAAATATTTAAATAAGAACCAGAAAGTAAATTATTTTGAAAATGAGAAATGCTACTATTAGTGTAAGACAATGAATATAAGTTAAGAGGACAGGGATATAAGACTTTAAAAAACTGAGAAGTTTAAACATATTGCCCAATTCACTTTCTCAGATTGTCTGCAGTAAATTTAGAGACTTTTTTAAAAAACAAACAAAAAAAGAAGCTATTTAATATTCTTTAATACTGCCTGTGATTTGAGAAACATCTAGCTTATATTTCATATGGGCCCATAAGGTGAAATGAAAACTGCTTAATATACCATAAACAATAACAGGTAATGGAAGGTATCCAGCTCGTGCCACTGAATTGGCATTAGCCCTTAACGTCTTTGTTAATTATCAGGGAGACAAGATAACTGCACATCTATTTCATGTGTAAGCGGCTCTGATTCTGATGTAAGCTCAGGTGGAGATAGAGAAATAATTCAAAGGAATCTGAGCAGATGAAGAAGTTAGAAAGAAGGCGGTCAGCAAGTTACAGAAAGCCAAGTTGAATTTAGACAGTTTCCTAATCAACCATGCAGTCTGTTTTGCATCGTGGTGATTGCATTAAAGGAGCCATTGTGTCTATTTCTGATAAAAGGAAAAATGACCATCAGAAGATAGCAACCAGAAACAATTAACTTACCAACTGGCTTATTAGGCCTGGAATAATTAAGGTAACTGAAGTGGTCTTCTGGGGAAAACTGAACAAAGCATCTCCCCAGGAGGTGCAGAATGTGTCCATACTACAGGGTTCACTCAAACTACCTTCAAGTTTTTCTTGCCTTATCTTCACTCTCCTGCTCCTGAGTAAACCAGGGTGGAAGAGTGTTGGATATGGCCCTATGTTTCTACTCAGCGCCAAATTGTCAGTTCAGTTAATAAGATAAGTGGGACTGGAGCCTGAGTGCTCTGCTGGGCTATTAGCTATCATTTTAACTATGCCAGATTAATTACTAGGGGGTGTGTGATCTCCATCTCCCATAGATCCTGCGCTGTAGACTAGCATTCTGATGAAAGGACTGGACCTCCCTGGCAAATGAACTAGTAAAATACAATTGAGTATATTATGAGAACATGTATACCTATAAATTTCTCTATTAAAATTAAAAGTTTTACTTTTTATTTCTTCTTTAATCATGTAGAAGTTAAATTCCTACTCTTTTTGTACTTCTTTACTATCATTCTACCCCCAAAGCTGCTTTTGTTTTCTTTCTTTCTTTTCTTTAGTTTTTCCTAAAGCTTCTTTTTGTTTTAAGTGAATTTGGGGATTCAGAAAAAGGAGTCATTGTTCTTTTATTCTTGTGGCACTTTTCACAAAATTTATATTGTTGTGCCTAAACACATTTTATTAACTCGTTAGCAATCTTTCAAAAAAGAGAACCCACTTTCCTGCTTCTTCAGAAAATAACACTTTTCTTGCCTGGATCAAATGAGGGAGGATTCAGTTTTTCAGTCACTGTTGTCTCTGTAGTTATCATGTTTCCTCCGGTGCCGTTGGACCAGTTGGCACCAGTTGGCAGTGACCCAGCTTTGCTGAGTCATTCATGTCAAAACATGTCTCAAAAGATGAGTAATTATGAATATGAGTTGGCTTTGGTGTTTGCTGTTGGCAGTAAGAGTAGTCCTTCCTTTTGGGGAAGGTTTATTTGGTGTTGATGTAATGAACAAATCCTAGGTAGAAACAATGACAGCGTTGACATCTCGAAGTAAAATATTTGGGAAAACACTCTAGTTAGTCTTTATAACACTACAAAAAAATTCTTCCTAAGTTTAAGAGATCAATTTTAAAAGTGTATGTGTGGATGTGGTAAAACACTTTTTTCTAATAGTGCTTCATCTCACAGTTGTCATATATATTTTGGCAGGGGGGAAGGAATCTTTATGTTCAATTTAGTCTTCCTGTGTCTTTTCAGAAACATGGTAGAAATTTGTTAGTCAATCTTCATATAATTGCAAAAAGCTTTAAATAAAATAGTTGGAGTGCTGTGAAGGGCAGAAGTCTACTAAGCTCATTTAATCTGTCATTCAGAAGCTGTCGCTCTACAAACGCTGTGCAAGCTATATGCCGTTTTATCAGTCATGTGATTTGCCAGTCTGGTACTTCCACAGAAAGCCCACAGTTTTGCTTATGTAAGCAAATTAATAGCAGAAGCAGCCCAGAGTCTGAGGATTTTGTTCACTCTGGCTGCCCACATTCAAGGGGGTAAAAGGTGATTTCTGTGTTATTTCTACATAAGAAAAAGTAATTTTGGAAATGTGTAAGGTTTTCTTCTAAAAGGCAATATCGTGCTTCTCTTTTTGTGAAATTTTAGTGGCAAGATTTATTTGAGATACACATGAAAACATTCCAGAGAATTCTTAGATTAGTGTTGATGTCCTAAAGTAATAGGAGCTGCCATATAATATGTAATCACACACCCACACACTTCTACAGTCATTTAAATATAAATGTATCACATTGGCATTGAAGTCCATATTCTCCAAAAAATCCCTAGAGTTTTCAAATTTCAAGCATAGGAAAGTAATCAAACGAAGCATTAGATAAAAATCTTTATACCTCTAAAACCCAGACATTTGATATAAATATATACAGATATTTCATTATGTGTATAATTATATAACATATATAATAGACATATATACAGTTATTATATACATATAATTATAATAAAATATATAAATTTAGTTCTATATTTGGCTTTCTAGAATAAATACATATTTAAAAGAAATTTTAAATATGTATTTTGGATTATTCTTATTATTTATTAAAATATTCTTTCCTGACTGGAAGGGGGTGTGTCTTGTTTAGGAATAGATTTCATGTACAAATGAATTTTCTTTGAAGTTGCTGAGACATCAGGGGTGGGAGTGGGGGAGTAGATGGTCAAGTACCTTGAGTAAGTGATTAAAAACATTAGCCACTTTGAATAAATTAGAAATTAATTCTATTTTAAATTACTATTTTTAAGTAGAATAGAGTCAATTTAGCTCAAGGTTTGTGATATGTTCACCAAGATAGCTTTTTTTCTAAAATGTTTTCAAATTCCAAGCAGACTTAAAGGAGGTAACCAAGGCTGACACAAAATTATAGAATATTATCACTATAAAGGGGATACACTTGTAGGTTCAAGCATTTCAAAATAGTTTTCACAGTATGTCGTAGATTAGTTGATTGTAGGACTCAGAGTTGCAGCTGCATATCTTTCAGTGCAATAAGGTGGGGAAATGTCAAATGTCAACCCATGACAAAGGGAACAAGTGTACATGGATCAGAACCATGGTTCTCAAGTTTTAGCAGCCTCAGAATCCTCTAGAGGGCTTCTCAGAACACAGATTGCTGGGCCCCACCCACCCCCAGAGTTTCTGATTCTGCAGGTCAAGAGGTAGGGCCCAAGAATTTGGATTTCTAAGTCCTCGGTTCCCACTGCTGGTCCCAGACCATACTTTGAGAATGGCCGGGTCAAAGGAAACAACTCTTGCAGTTCTAAAGAGAAAAAGCATATGTATGACCTGTGATAAATTTGACATTCTTCAGCGGACATTACCTGGAAACCTAAAAACTAGATTTCATAGACATCCAGTATAATGATGCTGAAAACAAGAAAATCACGGACATTTACAACGAAAGGTGCCTTAAAGACCCAGGTTTGCATCTGACTGAATTCCACTTAGTAGCCTTGTGTTCTTGTGGTAGTCTTGTGATTTGAGTATTTCCTTTTTTGTAAAATACTACTCTTCTCTTCCCAGCTCTTAGAGTTTCTCTAAGAAGATGAATTTATAACCATTATGTCATTTTAAGTAGCTAGTCATCACCACCTATTAGTCTGCTTGGCCTGCCATACAAAATATCATAGACTGGGTGGCGTAAACAACACAGATTTCTTTCTCACAGCTCTGGCGGCTACAAAGTCCAAGATAAACAGGCTGGCATGGTTGGTTTCTGGCGAAGGCTCTCTTCCTGACTTGTAGATAACCAACTTCTCACTTTATCCTCACATCCTCATATGGCAGAGAGAGAAAGAGAGAGAGAGAGAGAGCTCTGGTGTGTCTTCCTCTTTTTAGGGCCCCATTCTTGAGGCATCATTTAACCATTATCACCTCCTTGCAGGCCTGTCTCCACATACAGACACATTAAGGGCTAGAGCTTCAACATATGAATTTGGAGGGGACACAAACATTCAGTCCATAACACCACCACACAACCCCAATTCAGCAGACAGGAACATTGAGATCTAGAAAGGTGAATCAAGTTTCCCCCGAGTCCCTGCTTAGGTACACAGAGAGGACTGGAAGCCAGCATTCCCTCCCGATGTGCAATCCAATACACCATCTATCATCCTATATAGCTCTCTGCGGTCGCCCATTACTGGTCATCCCATAGGTGGACATTAAGAAGCTGTTTTGCCTCAGTGCTCTAATTATATAAAATAACCATCTACTAGGAAGTATCATAATTGGCCAGTATTTATTTATTGAACCCTCACAGGGATAATCTTTTCCACAAACACTCCTTAACAGTTTACTTCCCTCTTGGCCCCTATAGCTTATTAGGAGAGAAAAGTCCTTCAAAAAAAATGTGCACAAAATTAGAGCTGAAGGGTGGTTGTTGCCATCCACTCATCCTTCCAGTCCCTACACAGCCTCCTCCAAGAGGGCCTTGAC